GCAGCTCCCCCGTTGTGATGAAGGTGGCGATGTCGGAGATCCAGTCCTTGGCTTGATCTCAATCTGAAACTGGCTGAGGAAGATCGCCCATTTCACCATCCTCGAGGAGCTTGTGGGGCTCCTCATAAGTGCACCAAGAGGCTGCTGGGTCAGCACATGGACGGTGTGGGCTTGGAAATAGTGCCCCAGCTTCTTCACTGTGTGGACGATGGCCAGCACCGTCGTCTCAATGGGGGAGTACCTGAGCTCGGCCTCCCTGAGTGTCTTGCTGATGTAGAAGATGGCCTTCTGCACCCCTTCGTCCTCACGGATGAGCACGGAGCTGATGGCCGACGTGCTCACCCCTAAGTACAAGAAGAGGGTTTCGCCGGCTCTGGGCTTGGAGAGCACGGGTGGGGACGACAAGTACCTTTTCAATTCGTCGAATGCTTCCTGGCACTCCGTCGTCCACTTGAAGCTGCTTGCCTTGCGCATGATCTGGAAGAAAGGGAGTGCCCTCTCGGCTGACCTGGAGAGGAACCGGTTTAAGGCCGCCAGGCGCCCCGTCAGTCGCTGTACCTCCTTGACGTTGCGGGGCGGCTCCATGTTGATGATAGCCTGCGTCTTCTCCGGGTTTATCTCGATGCCTCTCCGGCTGACCATGTAGCCGAGGAACTTGCCACCCTGGACGCCGAAGGCGCATTTCTTGGGGTTGAGGCGGAGCTTGAACTCCTTCATTATTCCAAAGATTTCCCGGAGGTCGTCGGCGTGGGAGGTGGCCTGCCTGCTCTTGAAGATCATGTCGTCGACGTACGCCTCCATCGTCCGGCCAAGGACCGCTCTGAAGATCTTGGCCACCATCCTAGTGTAGGTGGCGCCGGAGTTTTTGAGTCCGAAGGCCATGACGAGGTAGCAAAAGATTCCCTCTGGGGTCATGAATGTCGTCTTCTCAGCGTCATCTTCATGCATGGAGATTTGGTGATACCCTCTGAAAGCATCGAGGAACGACATCAACTCGCACCCCGCCGTCTCGTCCACTAGCTGATCAATGTTGGGGAGAGGGAACGGGTCCATGGGGCACGCCTTGTTCAGGTCGGTGTAGTCAACACACATTCTGAACGTCGGCGGTTTTTGTGCGAGGACGACGTTGGCCAACCATGTCGGGTACTTCACCTCTTTGATGTGTCTGATTGAGAGGAGCATGGCGACCTCCCCTTTGACGAAGTCCCGCCTGACGGCGGACAAGTAGCGCCGCTTCTGTTTGACAGGCGCGGAGGCCGGATCGACGGTCAGCCGGTGAGTGATCACCTGGCGGCTGATGCCTGGCATATCGTCCGGGCCCCACGCGAAGACAACGGCGTATGACCGCAGGACGAGGAGGATGGCGTCTCGTTGGTCCTGGGGGAGTTGCTTTCCAACCCTGAGAACCCGCTCCGGCCGGGAAGTATCCAGAGGGATTTCCTCGACCTCCTCGGCCGGCTCCGCATGTGGCCTCTCCTCGTCCATGGCGACGGCGGCCGTAATGGTGTCTATCCTCTGTCCTTCCCTTTCGGCCGGCCTCGTTAGCTTGAGGTAGCAAGCTCTGGCTATCCTCTGATTTCCTCTGGCGTAGCCGATGCCGTCATTGGTGGGGAACTTCAAACATAAGTGCTTCATGGAGATGATGGCCTCCAAGTCCTCCAGCGCTGGCCGGCCCAAGATCAGGTTGTGGGCGCACTGGAGGTTGACCACCATGAACTCCATGTCAATTTTGGCGTGGTGGGGGCCGTCACCGACTTCCACGGGGAGGACTATCGTGCCCTCGGCGTCGATAGAGTCCCCGGTGAAGCCGGATAACGGGGTCTTGATCGGCTTCAGCAAAGCTCTGTCCAGCTTCAGCTGCTTGAAGGTGTCTAGGTACATCACGTTGACGGAGCTCCCCGTATCGATGTAAGTACGGTGGATGATGGAGTCACCGATCTCACATCGGATGACGAGGGCGTCCCTGTGTGACTCCGTACCCGGAGGCAGATCCTTGTCGGTGAAGGTGATCGCCTCCGTTCGCTGCTTCTTCGGCTGGGGGGGAACGTGGGACACCTCCCCAATGTAAAGGGATCGATCCCATTTCTTTCTCTGAGTGGCAGAGTCCCCCCCAGTGTTCCCACCTACGATGAGGTGGATGTGATTCTTCTTCGGCGGAGGCTCCTCGAAGTCCTCGTCGTCGCTGAGCCTACCAATCTCGCGCTTCTTCGCAGAGGGTTCGCCCCCATGTTTGCCGGTGTTTACCCAAGTGTTTTTACGTGGGCCACCTTTGACAAACTGGGAGAGTTCCCCCTGGCGAATAAGGCGCTCGATGGCCTTCTTCAATGTGATGCAATCGTCGGTGTTGTGCGACGAGTTCTTGTGGAACCGGCAGTACGTGCCGCGCTGCTGGATGGCAAGGATCTCCTCGGCCGGCCGAGGAGCCTGCTCGATGAGGCCGTGCTTCTCGGCATAATCGAGGATGGTGCCGACCGGGTGGGTGAGGGTTACCCCCGGCCGTTCCAGCCTCGGCCGCCAGTGGCGGTCTTTCTTACTCTGTCCACTAGAGCCGTGGCGGCCCTGGGCACCCTTGCCGGCCGGGGACGGACCCGGGGCCGACGAAGGATTTGTCTTCTTGGGGGGATGGCCCCCCTCTCTCTTGTGATTGTGGAGCTCGTCGGCGTCGGCATACAAGCCTCCGCGTTGGAGCGCCTTGGCGTACGACCTCGGGGGGTCGGTGATGAGGCTCCTGGCGTACGGGGAGCTGCGGAGGGCTCCCTGGTACAAGGCGAGGAGGGTGCGCTCATCGGCCCCCTCGACCTCCTCAGTCTCCCTCGTACACCGATCGATGAATGACCGGAGGGACTCCTCGTGCTGCTGCTTGACGGAGAGGAGGTGGGTGAAATACTTCTTGGCGCGCTTCCTCCCGGCAAAGTGAGTGAGGAAGCGCTGGGCGAGATCCTGCCACGAGTCAATGCTTCCTTCTGGCAGTCCGTTGAACCACTCGTACGCTGGCCCCTCGAGAGTAGAGAGGAACCAACGGCAGAGGTATTCGTCGGACGCGTTCACCATCAACATGTTGTTCTGGTAACGGCTGAAGTGCTCCTGGGGGTCTGATCGGCCATCGTAGGACTTGATGGCGTTCCCCCTGTACTTCTCAGGGATGGGGGCCGAGAGGACCCTGTTGGTGAAAGGGGTCCTCATCCTGACCTGGATGATGGGGTCACCCCGCCCTTCGGCCAGCTCCCTCTCTAGGGCGCTAACCTTGTTCATGAGCGCGTTGAGGCCGGGGTCGTTGGAGGCGCCGGCCGTAGGGATGTTGGCCGACTGCTTGGCCTCCATCTGAGCCAGCCTCCTTTCCAGCTGGGCGATGACCTCGTCCCGGGGGTCCCTATCGGCCGCAGCGGCGCCCGGCTGGTTCCTCAGGCGCTCGTTGTGAGCGGCGTTGATCTGGTCACGCACGTCATCCTCGTGCAACTTCCCCTTGCCCTTGTCCGGGCGGGGCTGGCCCGCTGTCCGGGACACAGACCCCAAACTTTCCCTTGGCGAGCCAGGACGAAGATCACCAATCCGTCCCGCCATCCTCTCCGAAACCGGACGACGGCGCGTGTCACCTAGCCTATTGAAGGCAGAGGCTTTTCCACGCGCTGGGGTCTGCCCGGGCCGAAGAGGGGAAGCAGGGTGGGAGTGGGACGACGTCGTGTCCTGGGCCACACCCCCCTCATTGTTGCCTATCTGGACGGCCAACGGTTGGGGATGAGGAGGTGGAGTGACGTTTCCCCCGGTCCTTGGCAAGAGTGCGCTGAGGACGGTGGGGTTCTGAGCTAGGCTGGCGATGATGACCGACAGCGCGGCCTGGACCTGTGGATCCACGGACGGAGAGGCCGCGGCCATAGGCTGGGCCGGGGCGTGATCCGTCTTTTCAGCTCGCTTCTTGTCCAAGCCGAGGCGGGCATCAGGGGCGCCGCCGTTGAGTTGGTTGCGGAGGTCCGTTGTGAGGTTGAAGGCCTCCTGGAAGAGGTCCCCTCCGCCGACCTGGTCGGCCGTGGCGTCCTCATCATGCTCCCTGTGCTCTTGGTCCTCAGGGATGGCTTTGCTGACGAGGTTGCGGTTCGACTTCGTTCTCCCCATGATCAGTGGTTAGCTGTGCTTGGTAGCGACGAAGGGTGCTAACTTGATTGTTCTAGCTCTCAACGAGAGCACCAAATGATAGAGTATATCTAGAGAGAAGTGAGAGCTAGAGAGAGAAGTGCAATAATATGCTTCAATAGAATGATTTTGTAACCCCTATAACTATTCCCAAGGGGAGTATTTATAGAGAAAATTAGGGTTGGGCTCCCAAGCCTTGGGCTTGGGAGGCCCATTTACAACTGGACCGCTACTGGGCCGAATACAAAGCCACTAATGGGCTGTACAAATGAGTAAGTGTAAAATCTGTTTCTGGGAGGTCTTCTTGGCCGACGAGGGCGTGGCCGACGAGGGCACGGCCGACGAGGGCGCGGCCGACGAGGGCACCCGGGTTCCTTGGGCTCAGGACCATAATCCGAGTTGGCTCCTTTTCGGCCGACGGGGGCGTCTAGGCCGACGAGGGCGCCACTCTGTTGTCTTGTGCTCTGTTCTTCCGAGTATGTGGGTCATGGGGCTCAGACCCATATACTCCATCACTATTTATTAACCTTACTATTTCACCTTGAAATAGTGTTTCAAACTTATTATAGAGAACTTTCAAATATAAAGAGTAATAGGTTTGACCCTGTGAGTAGGGTAAATTTTCAATGTGAACTAATAATTTGGTGGGATGAGAGGTTACTATGTTAAAATGCATATAACATCTGCAAGTATATGGGTCAGAGTCTCAGTCTCTATCTGATAGCTTGTGATTAAAGTCTAATTTGCATTCTCCCATCTAACTGTTCGGTCCTTTTTTCGAGGGCCCTCAGAAATAGTGTCATCCTTTTTTGTAGTTGTACAACCCAACCGGCCCAATGGCCCAAAATACAGAAAAGCTGAGTGAATAATACGGAGAGTCATATCGTGCACTTCGTTGCTTCAGCAGTCTTTTATACGTAGCACTTCGTATTTACGGTGAAAAAGCGTAGATAGGCTCGAGCCTTCGTCATCAACGCATCGTACATAGACGACCGCCCCTTCGTACCGGTTCGCCCTTCTCAAAAATCAGCCCGACGCCCCGACCGTACTCTGACCTCCGACCCCTTCTCGCCGGCTCGCCCTACTAAGTCTTCAGGTGCTCCGTACTCCTCCCTGGCTCCCCTCCTCCAACCTCCGGCCTCCTTCCCCTCCTTCCTCAGTTCCTTATTTCTTAATGGCTAGCTTAATTGTTGTAGGGTTTTAAACCTTCCCTTTAATTGATTAATATGATTATTTGATTAGTATCAAGATGTTAAATAAATTTTTTAAACAATAGATATTTTATTAATAATTAAATTGTTAGATGCGAATATTACATCACAGACTATGAACAGAGTTATCAGTTTATCTATTATTGGCTACTTGGAAATTGCACTTGGCTAATCTTTAGAGTGCAGTCCATCCTAACGTTGTCCTCATGCCTGCAAAAGCTGCCTATTTTTGAACCATCTATTTATCCATTTGTTCTGAGGAGAGGATTGCTATTTTCTTTTAATTGATAGGTTAGATGGAGTTTGGATATGGCATTCCACATAATCTTCAGGGACTCGAGAACTTTGAGGATGGCAAAGACATTAAGATGTCTGAGGTTGAGGAGGGAGAACTGGTCGAGATGATCTCTAAGACTGAATTGGGCGAAAATGGTGGTGTGGTTTCTGGGAAAGGATTACGCGAAACTATGGTTGGAAATGAGAACATAGATAAAAAAGATTCTGATAGTAAAAATCAGAAGCGTAGGAAGAACAAGAAGAAGAATAAGAAGAAGAAAAACAGAGGAAATAAAGGCCCTCCAGTTCCAAATATAACGGATGTCAACAGGTGTGTATCTGCCAGCATTGGTATCACTTAATTCACTTATCATATTCTCACACTGAGTATATGAAAATTTATTGATTGTATATATGTAGTAATAGTATTTTCTGAGTGTAAAGATTGTATAGTTGTAGATTTTTCCTACTCCACATATAGTTAAAAAGACATAGTTTGTTTTTAAGGAATTGACATTATTTGGATTATTCAAAAGAAAGATGGGTATTTCATTTGGTATATGTAGGGAGGTGTTGTAGAATCATGCACCTTATGGTTCTTCACTTTGATCTCTTACCATCTGCAATTGTAGATTTGTAATTGATGTATGTAAACGCTTGAGAGAGAGAAAATCTTATTTGGTATGGACTGCTGTGGCTTGTCTTGGTGTATCCGTTCTCAGTGATCTTGTCAATGAGGTAAGATTTACATTTTTTTTAAAAACTCTGAAGTATTTTATTTTATTCAAGACGTCCTAAAGTTGATGTGGTGTAAGAGTATAGGTATGCAACTTATTCATCTTCAAATGCCATAGTGATTCATTTACAAGATGCAAACTTCATCATTGTGATCATGCCATTTAGTTGCAATTAAGTGATTTGTATACCACTTAAGTGATCTACTTTTGTTTCCATTTTGACACTCTTCTTCCACCACTCAATACCATCAGGCTTGTGTGAGCTTCTATTTCCTACACTCGTGTTCAACGCAATGGGTAAAAAGAGTGTGGTCAATTAAAAAGGCTATCGTGTAACAAGATTGTTAACATATTGCGTGTGTAGTTCCTCCTGAGGTTTTTTGTTAAGTCACCAACTGAATTCAATCGATCAAGAAAAATGTCGTTAATACTTTGAAAAGGTGAGGTGCTCATACTTAATATGTTTAAATGTTCTACTCTTCTTTTGTTGTCTCTGATGCTGTATGTTGTTTCCCTACCCTCGCAGATGTTAAATGATGAAGTCATTTCACTGGTTTCGGTTCCATGGACTTTTCTACCAAGATAGTTTTTGGCTTTACACTTTATGAAGTACAATGGGTATATAGGTTGATGCAAATTACTTGCCATGTTACTGTTCAATCGTTGGTGTGCACCATGATGCACTGTGTATTAAGTAGTGACACGCATCATAGAACATGAGTATGTAGTGATGTCTCGTAGGAAATAATTTCATTAGTTAACACTTTAAAAGCAGTTGGGTAAGATAAAGGTTATGTGGAAGCCATGTACAAATTTGCTAAGTAATTATTAGAAATTAAGTATTTAATCCCTAACGGCCTAACCACCATTAAGCTATGAAATTTCATGGAGATGTTCTTACAGTTAATACATAATTTTGTTTGGACCGTCTGATAATATTTGTTCCATCCATTGAATTTCAAATTGGAACTGATATATTTAAGTGTAGATGTGTATGTAATTAAATCCTTTTATACCAATAATAAGGGTACTTCTTGAGATGTATCTTCTAGTAAGATTGGATCTTGACTTTTCTTTGTTTCTGCCTACATTTAAACATAGTGCGTAACTTCACTTCTATTCTACGTTGGGAATTCAAAGTATACAAATAAACTGTATGCTTAAGATTGGTTAAGTTTATTTGACATGCAATTCTGATCATAAGATTCATATTCCTCTAAAGTGCACGATCTTGATGTGTTCTTTACCCATTGAATGAAGAAGTAAATAGGTCCTCGTTTTCAGCATAGCCTATAACATTGTACAGATATGATTGTTACACCATGGATGCGTGTGTCCTTCAGCTTTGTGTCCTTCAAGTTTCTATGCCAATGAAATCAGTACTAAAGTAATGTTGTTTGCAGGTGGATGCAATTCAGGCATCTGGTGGCCAGAAGACTTCTAATGGCCAGCGATATAGAGTAGGTGGTGGGATCTTATGGAACATTCTCAGAGTGCGTGAACCCAATGCTTTCAAAGAGATAATGCAAAAGGGAAAGGAGTTTGAGGTGGGCCAGTTTTTCTTAAGAAAGAACACATTTCTTTCTTAATGGATGTCCATATGAAAATACTGTTTTTCCATTGTTAAATTGCATATCCATGATTATGTGTGCACTCAATCCACTCATATATATCCATGGAATCTGTACTCTCATTCTATAGTTCATTTAATGCATTCACTTGATATTTGTCACGAGCACACTTAGTCGCTTACACCTCTTAGTTTGTGGCCAAGATCTAGAGAACGGGAGAAAGGTGCAGCAAAGGGAAGACTTACTTCGGGTCTATGATTGACACTTTAAAGAACCAAAACCAAGATTTTAGTTAGATTCAATTTGGTGACCTATGTAGTCAAGGTGCTCTGGATTTAATTCTTCCCAAAAGTAGCTAATTCAGAGTACCTTATATAGCCATTACTATCCTAAACATAATAGAAAATAACTAATGATATGGACTGCCTAAGACTAAAACAGGAAATAACTTCATATAACATACTAATAGGACCCTCTGACATGGCACTCATGTCAGCCTCTTGGGCTTATTTCCTTGATTAGCCACGATGCTCACCCATTTTTCCGGTCCCAGTATCCGCCTTGGAAGCTTCTAGAGCAGCCCGCCGTCATTGTAGCCTCAAACATGTCCTCGACATCAGTGATTGTAAACACGTCCACAAGAAATACAAGCCAATTAATTTTTGCATATCACGAGAATACCTGTCTAATTTCTATGGACTTGTACCCATTGCGACCACAGACACACATTGAATAAAATATCTCAAATTACTGTGTGATTGAGGGGTACATGAGACATAATGGTGACTCAATCCCTTTCGAAGAAAAGATATGCTCCCTAAACATCAATATTAGTATGATTAGCCTTTATTAATTGTTCTGGCCAACATGGTATTCACTTTATTAGCATATTTTTAAAGAGACAATCAACAAAACATTTTAATGGTCAGGTGGGTTGTATGTTGTAACTTGTAACACAAATGATTCTGTGTTAGTGAAAAACGGATGCAGCTATAATTAGCATGCCTCTTTGTTATGTTTCATCAGATCTGAATTTTGGGCTGATGCTTGTTTTTTTTCAACCTACTGCAGAAGCAGCTCAAGCAAGCTTCTAAAGCAGCCCCAAGTAAGCAAGGAACAAAAGAAGCTACTAACCAGAAAACAACTGGCAGTGCAGTGCAAACCCTTGTCAATTCTTCAGATGGCTCAAAAGTTCCATCTTATATGCTGTGTAATTCGCTTGGACAGTCAAATGGTGAACCATGTCAATCTGTTTTTAATAGAATACGGGTGCCTGTGAGGTACGATGACCTGTATCAGGAAGAGCATCCCAAAGATGTACAGCAGCAGAGTGCTGTTTGCAATTGAACTATGGACTGATCTTCCTATATTTCCAGTTCCTTAAATGAGGGTGTTCATGGTTCACCCTTTGGGAAGGTGATGTGCTTTTTCTAAAGAAGGTTATAGTAAGACTATTTTCTCTAGAAAATACATAGAACCGTTGCTTTTTTTGGCTGGTGGCATACAGATCCAGTTTTGATTATATTTCTGTTAAATCGTTCCAAGTGCACTTAAACTGCGGTGAGGTTGCTGTCCAATGAACTAGCTGTAGTTATAGTCTGGTTCTTTGGTGTGAATTTTGCAAGTGCATCATTGGTTTGAGACCCAAATTGGTCTTTCATGATTAGTTTCATCTTGGATTTTGTTAGAATAGACAGGGTTGGCTGGCTATGGCTTGCTCCCTTGACTGTTGAGCGATTCCTAGGACTAGAATGGTACGGTTTTGACCTGAAACCAAAAGTCGAAAGAAAGTAAAAAGTCTAGTCTGATTATATCTTTCAAAATTTGAAGTCATGGTTTGTTTGGATTGGTTTCGTTTTATTCGACTTTTGTCAAAATACTTTTGGTGATTAGAAGACATATTAGTCGGAAAATAAAGACAGAAAAACTACATCAAACAATAATTAATACTACCTGACTAATACTACTTCTGTTCTACTAATATTGAGAAACAAGTGGTGCGGTTATTAAGAAAAATGGATTTATGTGGTTGATATTGAATGGATAAAGTAAAAATAACGTAAAAGTGATTTGAAAGAATACAAATTTATCTAATTGAACAAAATAATATTGGTGCGACTGATTTAAAAATAAAGATGAGGTAATTATAGTAGGACAAAGAGGTAGTAACATTATATATAAAAAATACATAATGTGACCTCAAGTTATCGTTTTATTTGTAAAGGTCTGTTACCATTGATTTATTCTTTTAATCTTTTTTATTAAAAGAGTTGTATTTATGGTAAGTAACTTATTGCTCTAAAGTTGCATTTTTGAAAATAGATTAATAATATATATATGCTGTCTAAGGTATAATATTAGCGTTAATTCACGTCTAGTAATAAAAAAATTGTGTGATAACAAACAAAAATAACTAATAATATAGTCACAAAATATTATTATCATGCAACTAGTAAATGTACATTGTGATGTAAAATATTAGGGAAAGTTCCCGAAATAGGATTAAAACAATTTGAAAATTCCAAAATATGACCGTCATGTTTTTTATTCCCAAAATAGGACTAATTACTGTCATGTTTAGAAAATACTGACATGTTTGAAGTTTGGTATTGTCAAAACATAACAATAATTAGTTCTATTTTGAGAATAAAAACATGACAGTCCTATTTAGGAATTTTCAAACTATTTTAGTCCTATTTCGGGTAATATCTCAAAATATTAAGATATTAGTACTACCTTCATCCCGAAAAAGTTTGTCATGTTGACTTTTCTTGATCGCAAACTTTGGACAATGATTTCAATTACTATATTTGTATATAATGTATAAATTTTATACTTTTATAAAAGTATTTTGAATAAAGAACATTTTGATATAACTTTCATATTATAAATAATTTCGTATTAAAAAATATCATTGGTCAAAGTTGATTGTAATTTTCCAAAGAAAGTCAATTTGGTGAACCTTTTTTAAACGGAGGAAGTATTATTAAACTATAAATATCAAATGTCAATATCTTGAAAATGATATTAAATCTAGTATCAAATATTTAGCTTTATAGAATTAAGAATTATAGAATTAACCAAGATATTATACGTAATAACTAATGAATAAAATAGCATATTTTAAAAAGTTAGATTTTTGTTGAGTTTGGTTTCATTTGTAGAGGTGAAAATAAAAATTGAACAACTACGATTCCGTTGGTGTGTTCAGTTTCGGTTTGGTTTGTTTTGCCTACATTTGTTTGATTTAGTTTTAAATTTCACCAACCGGCCCCGTTTTTACTTGGACTGTAATTCGTCTCAGACCAGACCAGACTAGATCAGATCAAATCAGACCAGATTAGACCAGACCAGTTCAGACTAGACCAGATCAAACTTGGATAGTTATAAAAATACAAAGAAACCAGACCAGACCAGTTCAGACCAGACCAGACCAGACCAGACCAGATCAGACATGACCAGACCAGTTCAGACCAGACCAGACCAGACCAGACCAGCAAATTACAGTCCAAGTAAAAACATCCCTAGAGTCGACTAGTATCGGAATTAGTTTTAAATTGTCCGATTCTATTATACGTAGTACTACGTACGTACTCCGTATTACTACGTAGTTAATTAGCAGTTGGTTTTGGACTTTTGGTTTTGATCCCAATGGCTAATTTATTTCATATTCTGACTTTTGCTAGCTTTTAACGGTCACTTCGTGTTTTACGTGAGAAGGCCCTATGTGTTACACTTTTCTTCTCTTATGTAGCATGAAAAAGGCATGGATGGCATATCTCGTGCCGGGTAGCTGTGGTGTTGTTTCATCAAGAATTGATAGTAGAAACCATACTTGGGAACAGGGATGGGTTGAAATTGTTGAAATCAAAAACCTAAAACTGAATAAAAAAAAATCAAATCACAAGCAAAACAAACTGAACTTCGAAAAAATCAAAACCAAACTCAAAAAATCGAACCATTGTTGTTTGATTTAATTTTGATTTTCACCACTAACAACGGACGGAACAAATCGAACTTTTTAAATTATGTTATTTAATTAACTAACGACATTATTATGAGCATGAATATAATGTATCTCATGATGTGCACCATTTAATTTCAAACATAAGTTTACTATATTGTCCGTAAATGAGTAATCCAACATACGGGTGGACCCGGTCTATCGGTCTCGACCGAGTCAAAACGGGCCCGACTCTGTTTTGGACTGACCCGAGACTGTTTTTTTGTCTTCATTATGTTGGTTTTCATTTATGTAAGCTTTAGTCTTTATTACCTGGTCCCCGGTGTAATTTTTTGGGACCGGGGTCTGCCTCGGGCCCGGTCCGGCCACCACCGACTAAGACAGTTTAAAATAAATGATCAAGATCTAAACCGGTCAATCTATCTTTCCATAATATTATATTGTAGCATGCATCAAATTGAATGATCTTACACATTATATTGCTTATTCCCGCTTTGGGACCGCTATCTAGCGGGCCGGTATCGACTCTCCCTTTTCTTTGACAAGCACCGTCCAATAGTGATCGGGTCCATGCCTAATCCAAAACTCTTGCTATCATAACTGTAAAGGAGCTTGGAGTCGCATAACATTCCTCTAAATGCATTTAGGAATCTTGCTAAAGATCACCACTTTGAGTTGCCAAAAAATAACCAATAATAAATAAAATGCCTTATTATAAGATAATAAAGCTTACAATATTTTATGCTTGCAACTTTAAAACTTATGATATTATGGGGGTATTTTGATCTGATTTTAAAATTGTTTTCGACTCCTTCAAGGAGCAGAAGAAGTTGGAGTGTTTGGGTGAAAATGCAGAAGTGCTTCTGAAGCTCTAATTTACTCCAAAAAGCCGTTTTTTAGAAGCTGGGGAAGACCAGTTTCTGAAAAGTTATTTTGATTCTGCTCCTGCTTTAAAAAAGAGTGAAGCAGAATCAATTCGAAACACCCCTTATATAATACGTAGAAGTTATACATTGGACCCCATAACTTCTTTCTCATTTTTAAAGAAAGATAAATCTAATTTAATTTAAGTATAGCTTATAGTTTGAACAAGTTTGAATCTAATTTAACTCGACTCCTATCTGATTTGATTTGTTCAGACAGGTCTAGTCTGAATTAAAATAAAGCAGTGTGATTTAAGAATGAAAAAAAACTCCAAGTGAATAGTTTCCGAATATTTTTTGTTTTGCTACGTGTACACAAAATGTGTTTGTACACCACGCATTTTTCTATATTTTCTCTACTTGAACATCTTCCAAATGTCACAATCATACAACGTTTCAATAAACATGTTGAGTCAATGTGAGAAGAAAATTTGGGACGTGGACTTGGTGGAGTGTAACTGGTAAATTTTCATTTTGTAGAGTTGTAAGCTTTATAGGTTTGTAAAGTTGAATTTAATTTAAAAAAATGTTTAATCATGCAGTTTTAATAGCTATTTAACTTGCAAATTTTGAAAAAACAAATTCAAAACGCCTTAACTACAATGTCTGAATCCTTTTTAGAGTAACACACCCATGAATGCCATGATCTCAAGTTCTAGATCAAATTCAATTCAAAACCACCAAGGACCCAACAGAGAACTTGGACTTCGATTTCAGTCCAAACATTTTTGACAGCACAAAGAGCTTAAAGGAGGCCGATGTGAAAGAAAAAAAGCCGAAGTAATGACAAAATTACACATATATTCTTTAAGTCTAGTACTTAAAGATCAACATACCACCGATATGCTTCAAGTGTTTAATTTCTGGTGCATGCTATTGGATAGATACTATGGCATTCTCATCAGCTGGTGTGGACTCGGTCAGAGGTGACTTTTTTGCCAGAGATTTTGGCAAGTCAATATAGTCTTGCAGGCAACGCTGTTGGGGGTGGGATAACAGAACAGACATGTGTCGAAGGAAAACACGGAGACTGCCCTGCCCACTCTCAAATATGTAACCCTCATTCTCACTCACTAGTTCCAAGGCCTCCACCAGGGCATCATACACCTTTTGTGGACAATTCTCAGGTCCTGGCTTGTCATGGAGGTATATTGCATCCAAAGTGAATAGCTTCTGAATAGCAGGCCATTGATGTGTTGGTGGCGTTGATGACCTACAGTACAGTAGAATCTGAAACCAAAACTCATCAGCCAACTGGTTTCAAATGAACTATCAGTTATTAGTTTATACATAAAACGACAAATAAATGTAATAAAAAAGCGAGAAAAGAATTTAAGTGACCAAAGCATTCAAATGGAATCATAGTGCTTGCTCTTATGGAAAAGAGTTCATCAATTCAAATTAAAAAATCTGCAGCAAAATGTGGTCAAGTCACAAAGATGGAAGCAAATATTAGTCTTTCATTTAATCTCACATGCATCAAAATCTTGTCAATGTTGTAGACTGGTAGTCTTTTATCATGAAAAGACTTGGTGTGGTTTATTAGCTCTCCTGGCTCTTTTTCAACAATTCATCACTCGAGTCCTTAAGGGCTACTTTCTTAACAAACAAATTAAAACTTTCATCATCTTTTATTGCAGTATCTTTTAGAAACAGATTCAAGCCTAATAATAACAAATTCTCGTCTTTAAAAGTTGGCAGACCCTAAACACTAAAAATGGAGAAACATCCTAATTCAATTCCTAGATTTTGACATGGCAAATCACAATATGGCGCAATCATAATAAAATAGAGCACCACCTAGATACAATAACCAAACACAAGAAAAACTAAGTGCAGTGACACAAAGTAAGATGTGCATACAGCACTCAAAGTAACACCCATAGAGCTAAAGGACTCTCTGACTTGTAGATAGTGTTGTATGTGTACTCAAAGTAACACCCATAAGTCATTTTTCAAACACCTC